GTGACCGTGTTAACGGAGTGGCCGTAAGGCGGGGTTCCATTGTACTTTGTGAAGACAACAAGGCCGTGATTTCGTTCAAAGTGATAGTAACATTTAGCTCAACTAAGCAGTGGGAAATTTTGTTGGTAAACACGGTGTCGCTATCACTGCTTGTCTTTAGTTCTGCTGAAGTACAGTGGAGAGGGCGATAAGCCCACGCGTGTTTTCAGTGCCAACTGGACCAAAGATGAAGACATCAGTCGCTGCCTGAGGTAACGTCAAACTAAACACATTGACTTGATTAATATTACAGCTGACTCAGTTTAGTGGAGAGTGCAACAAAACATGAAGTGAATTAGGGAAGTGCATTGTTTTATGCCCATTAGTGTTCTTGTCTGGATTGGTAACTCACTTGATAGATGGACACGAAACTTCCTTTGATGTTTGGAGGTTAGGGCCACAAATCCCATTTGGGTCAAAGATTTTCCTTTCAACTTTTCATGCGAATGCAACTTGTAGTTAAAAAGTATGCTCTTCAAATGGTATTTGTTATAGAAACGTTGTGTAACATGGAGTAACCATGAAGAATAAATATTTTGTTTTCATGCCCGTTATTTACAAATCCCAAATCAATCACTTCGTTCTGCACACCTTACTCGCTCGCGCACATATTCTGGTTACATGCTTAGTAGCGTTTGCGACTACTGTTGCTTTTTTTTTTGTACACCTTTGCTAGCAACGATCTTATCTTGCAGGTCTCTACCCAACTGGCCTGGCATTCAGCACCACCATTCACATCGACATAGAAAGGTAAGACTGTCCTTAATGTGGAATAATCCATGTTTACTTCTGTGCCAGGGGTCCAACCCGAATCTTCTAGTCTGTTGCCAAAACACTATTGAATTACTACACCTTGCGCAAATTCAGTCATGACTGAGAATTTTAATGGCCCGTTGGTTTTTCTCTCTGCAGGAAGACGAAGAGCAAGATGTAGAGGCGGTGAGAAAACGAAATCAGAAGGTAATCTCAACTCTTGCTGTTTATTTCTCAAGTATTCTTCTCTTGGTAGTATGAATGGTCCTAGGTCACACTTTTTCAGGCGATTCTAGCACATTTCTTGCACAAAATGGTCGAACACCTGAGTGAAACTGTAAACGGAAGTTTCTTTGAAAAAAAA